CATATGCGCGGCACACGTGAAAAAGCCCGTCTTGCAGACCTGCAGCTGCTGCATACTTTGAGTAGCTTGTCCTGGAGCCCATATCTCGTTTGATCATCTTCTCGAGCTTAGCCAGCGCTGCTGAATCCTCTTTGGCCTTTTTTGCCTTTTCCGCTGCCAGTTGAGTCTGGAGACGAGCCGTGCTCATGGGATCCGTCGCCTCGTGCGAAGGCGAAGGAGAAGCGACGCCTACGTTGGAGCTGGTGGCAGGCGTTGAGTGATCAGATCTTATCGACGATCTCGACGACGCTACCGACTCTTTTTCCTTGGTGTTTCCGTTGATATGCCCATTCAGTAAGGGAGACTTGGACATGCCCTCTTTCATGTCTGAGTGTGGCCCTCGGGACTTGAGATCCCAGTAGACGGCCTCTAGATCCTCGTTCTTGCTGCCTGCTAAAACTTGCCATATAACTGGTCTGATGGTCTGTGGGATCCCACCACTGATGGCTTGGGTGAACTCATCGGGACTCGTCCGAGCAACGGCCTGTGGACCCTCATTAACAACGTTTTGCCAGAAGTCCCAATCAATCGGGGTGCTGGTATCTGCAGTTGCTGCCGCTACTCCTGCCACTGTTCCTGGAGGCAGATTTGGATCGGTGGGTAGTGATTCGGCTATGGGCGAGGTCGGAGACATAACAGGAGTAGAGACAACGTTTTCATCCTGACCTACACTGCCCGGAGTGGCAATTCCCACACCCAAACTAGCTGACCTTCCAATAAGTCCAGCTATTGCACCTCCTTCAGATGCCTCTGTTTCCTCCAAGCTCGTTATGCCTGCTTCTTCCCGCAGCCGTAGCATCTTGAATTGTTCGCGGAGCGATGCTCTAGAAGGCTGTTTCTGACCGCTTGACCCATCTTGAGACTCTTCTAGCGCCTTTAGCGTCAAATCAGCGTTACTACCGAGAGTGGATGCTGATGCTGCCGTATTCCGACGGGCGTCAACTTGTGACTTGGAGGGTAGAGGGGGCGAGCGTGTCTCTTTGGGAGCCGATGTTGCTCGGCTGAGCCATCCGAACGGAGTGGTCACTTTGCGGCTAAAGGTGGACGTTGACTGTGGTTGGGGTGGTTGCGGAGACGGTGCTCGAGCGTCTGACGCTTTTCTGGGAGGAGGCGGTCCCCAAGGCACTGATGGGAGAGAAGCAGAAAAGCCTTGGAATCTCGAAGGGCGGATAGCAGGTTTAGGAGGGAGAGGTTTCTCTGAAGGATCGCCTGAGGCATCGGTGGAGGGCTCTGGAGCTTTCAAAGTAGGGGTTTGCTGAGCGTCATGGGAATCATCCACAGCGCTTGTATCAGTAGTTATATCAGGGATTTTCGACTCTGAAGTCCCCGTACTATCTCTTTGCTCTTCTTTAGGTTCCTCATTGTCGTTCGAGATCGGAGGAGGGTCATTGGAGTTCTTGGGATCTTGAGGCGGCTGATCCGACTGGGAGGAACTTCGCTTCGAATCATTGTTGACATCCGTGGCATCCTCAAATTTCTAAGTTGCGTTAGAAAACATGTTTCGTCTGAACGGAGAAACGTAAAACTCCAAGCGCTTTACCTCTTCGATGTCCGGATTGTCTGCACTATTCGCCATATTGGTCTGCCTTCAAGAGCCACCAGGCATGCTCATATCATCCTTTACCACACTATGACCGATAATTACAGGGAGTGGGACTCGTGGGAGGCAGAGGGTGGGCGTGTGTGTTGAGGCTGGGGCCGCGTTGTCCTCGTAGTCGATGCGGAGGCGTCGAAAGGAGTATTAGATGCGCAGATTCCAACTCCAAACGAGGAACAGATGTCACCACAGTTGGTCAGTGTCCCGGCGGGGAGTCGTGCTTGGTGATATCGAGAGAAGAAGAAGCCCGAGAATGAGTCCGTCTGCCTTGATCCTTGCACCTTCAATGGAGGCAGTTGAGCGAAGTAAATGACCGAATGACCGCGCTTTTTCTTAAGGTGACGCGGGAAGCGAGCAACTTTTCAGTTTTGTAAACAGTTGATAGTGGAAAGAAGGATCGGCGAGATCTTGCGGACCTCGTGCTCGAGACTATTAGGCTCCGAGATCTATGGCTCGGGAGGAAATCAGGGTGAGGCGACACAGTGGATTGAATTGAGAGGAAAGCTGTCTTTTTGCTCTTTTTCTGGTATCCGATACCATCATCCGCAGTTGTACCACACCACGATCCTCCGATGCGCGATTCCCATACCCTCCTCCCTCCTTGAGCCCCGTCAATGCCTATGTCGGGACCAGGGGGGGCCAGAAGCCTGTGTTTAGCATGGAGCATAAGCCTAGCGAGCCCCATTTCCTCGCATTTTCCACTGCCTTGCCCCTTTGATCAAGCCCCGTCACGCCGTTGTTTGGCTGTTCCATAAAGGGGTCCTGCAGCCTGCGAAGTCCTTGCGGCTCCCTTCACAATGGGGCTTGTTTCAGCTGCTCCAGGGATTCGTCACCGTGGTGCTGGCAGGTTTGTTTGTCCCATACATAGTGGTTAAGCTTTACATAGTACAAGTACGGAACTCCAGTTGGTATAAGGCCACTTTACTCCATCTCAATGCTGCATTACTCGTTGCTTGCCAAGTTGCTGTCCCATCTCAGTCCACCTCCCTCTCCTAAGAGGATCAAGTTGTTTGAGCTTCTCTAACCACAGCGCCACCTTTCCCCAACCCTCCTCTTCAAGACTGGTTTGCAATTTGCTTTCTAGCATTGTACATTCGATCAACGCTTGGTATGGCCATTTGCAATCTTGAGCGTCTTCCAGAACTTCCTCAATGTACTCCCGCTCGGATGCGATGTATTCCAGTCGCTGCTCGTCAGACAGGTTCGGCGCCATACTCTTTGGTGCCTGGTCAAGATCAAAGGTGCACATTAAGTTCTGGTGATAGAACCAGAGTGATTGGTCGTAGGGATCGAATAGAGCCTTATGGATCAATTCGAGTTCTGGGATGGTTAGTATTCATCGACGAACTCGTCAATCAAGACTTTACCTTCGTCCAGCATCTTTTGTCTTTCGTCATCAGTGGCTTTCTCTTCGTCCAAGATTCTCAGAATGAGCTTTGTCCGGTTGTGCCAGGCTGAGAAGTTGGAGAGGTTGGTGCCTATCATTTTTTTGGTATATTCCAATTCCTGTCTCGCCATACTTTGCCCTTGCAAGGCTGGACTCTCGAGGCTCTGCACCACAATCCGTCGATAGCCCCAACCATGGAAGTTTCGGCTGTCCCGACTGAGCATCTTGCCCACCAATCCGAGCTCATCTTCCCATATTCCTCGAGCCTTTGCAGCTGGAAGAAGAGCCGTAGACTGCTCCAGGAGCCATATTCTGTGATTCCAGATCCAGTAGCATTTAGGGAATTTGAGGAGAAGAGGAAACAAAAATTGCAAGTCCAGCTGGATGATATCTAGTACCTGGCTGATTCGAGTCTCTTCATCCATTTGACCCGAGGCTGTCTGTTTTGCAAGATCCTCAAATTCGCTGACATAGATGCGACGGCGATGATTCCAGATGGTATAGTACTCTGGGTTCCTTTTCAGCAGCTGTGCGGTTTGTTGGAGTAGCACCGGGGTGAATTCCTTTGCAGCAACCTGCTCACGATCAACATTAGCATCTTCATCTCTGAATCATCAAGATTGTCCCAGAGACCTTAGTGTTGACCTCTTCAACAAGCTGTTGATATTGAGCGATTTCCTTCAACTCTTTCTGCCGTGCTTCTGCTGTTCGCTCCTCGCGGGTCGTTGTGCGAAGCACGCCATGCTGGTCAATAGGTCAACTCGGGCAATTTACACCTGCGGACTTCGTCTAGCTTACGCTTGCCATGTTTGAGGATGAGGCCAATCCAAGAAGCAGGATCACTAACCTGCGCTTTGTGGAAGAGAGACTTGTGGAGGGGTGTAACAAGGTGAAAGAACGATCAAGGTCAGAATCCAATGACACTTTAACCAACACAATTCCAGGCACCCAACTCAACCACCTATTCTTTTTGTACCTCAATTACCAAGCATCAATACCAACCAACACACTTTACTGACAAGTGATGGCTTGTCACTAACATAGGTACAAATCGGCGACACATTGCTCGTCCTGCACTTGATCAAGTCAAAGTGCTCTGTGCGAGTGGCGCCTCCACGGGTGGTGAGGAGGTTCGATCACCGTCACCAAGTGCCCAGAGACCGACCTCAAGCTCATCCCTTGTATAAAGGGAATGCAGGTGGCCGCTCGAGTCAATCTCAGCTACTTACTGGCGCTCGCTAGATCAGAGGGCTCTACTGCTCTCAAGGTGTTCAAAGTCTTACTACCAACCTGACATTCCTTCAAATGGACCATGCCGCGTCTTCTGCAGAAACGTCTCGTTCAGAACTGTCGACTAGTCCTCGCTCCTCAATCACGGATGATGCGAACAGAGCATCAGTGTCCACTGCACTGCAAGAACATGCCATTCCTACTCCAGAACGCCCATTGCTCCGTCACTTTCCCCAACACCAATCGACCTCGGAGTTGGTCTCCGAGGACCATCCGGCCCAAGCATCCTCACGAACAAAGTCCCGTCCCTAGCAAAGACGCAGCCTGAGTACCGGCAGCCCTCTACAGATTCGGTCGCAATTCACCTCACCCGACCGATTCATTCCACAAAGACCTCTTCACGTGGATAAGCGAAGAGCCTATGAAACTACCACACCTCCAGTCATACTTCGAGGAAGGGAGAGAAATGAACGCCGGCGAGATAACACAGTGAACCCCTTTCGCTCTATGAGCGAGACGAGGTCCCGAATGTTAACTAGACAGAGAAACGCACCTAATGTCTATAACTTGCGTCCCCCACAATATGTTCCCTCTTTTGTTCATGGCAGAGATTCCACTCCTGCACATATTGACAGAAGTATAGCGACAAGAACTCTCCGTCAGATCAGTACAGGATTTTGGACAGTAGGAGGCAGACTGTCCGCTCATCTGGGGCAATTGCAGGGTGTACCTACTGGCTTGGGTGGAATGTTGGCAAGTGGAGGCACTGCTCCATTGCACACGGCTACATTTCTGGCCCACGCGACTGGTCACGACAAAGAAGTAGCACACGAACGCCGCCTGGCACTGGCGCTCGACATTGACCAAGCGGCTCGCATCCTGCTGCAAAATCCCGCCCTCGAAGACAAGGATGGCAACCGGAAACCCGAGCATTGTCCCTTTGTATGGAGGAACAGTGCATGGACCCGGGAGCCGACCTGTTGGTGTAATATGTGAATATACCTGTTTCTCATTTGCTTACTGACCTTGAAGTAGACCGGGCATACAAAGATGGAGGATTACTCGAAAGCGAGAAGGTGGTTCCTACCGTCCCCTTTCGGGTTCTTGACGCTCCGAACCTCAAAGACGACTATTACTGCTCCGTTCTCGCCTACAATCAGACCTGTCACTCCTTAGCTGTCGCACTGGGCCAAAAAGTATATCTCTGGACCGAACAGTATGGCGTGCGCTATCCACCACTCCCTCCTTGCCGACCTGCCGATTTTGTGACTTCTCTAGCTTTCTCGTCTGAGAAAGGGGCCAAGGCGATATTGGCAGTCGCCAGGAACAGCGGGACTATCACATTATGGAGTTTGCTGGAGATCAGGCCACGATTCGATGCTCCTCATCCTTGCGCAGCGTCCTGTGTGTCGTTCAAACCTGTCCAAACGCAGCGACCGTCTGTCACAGGGAATGGCACAGTCATGTGCGAAGACTTGGTCGTCGGCGACGACTCTGGCATGATATACTACTATTCTTTGGAGTGGCCCGAATTTGCTCCTGGATCAATGACGCTTCTGGCCAAACTTGACGCCCACAGCCAGAATATCTGCGGCATCTCCTGGTCACTAGACGGCAGGCACTTTGTCTCTGGTGGCAATGACAATCGGGCTTTACTTTTCGATCCGTCAGTCTTCCTCCGAGCAGACCACCAGAGAGATATCTCCCCGAGTACACCTAGCCCCACGGCAGACATGTTTGATGACTCCAGCTTTTCGACGTCTCAGCTTCCCACACCCCCGGATACGCCGCAGAGATATCGATCGGCAAGTCACCGAGAATCCTCCAACTTCGATAGAGGATCAGCCAACAGTATGCACGATACTGACCTAGCAACACCACCTCCATCCCCTTTGCGTCCCAGCAGAGTAGTCGATCACTCTCCAACCATGCAAGACCTCAACCCGCCTGGTGATCCCCAGACTGCTGTTCCGTCGAATGAGTCTGTGCTTCACAACGCGCTCGTGGATCCCGTGATTCCTGGAGATTCTAATCTTCACATCCATTCCTTTGATCACGCAGCTGCTGTCAAGGCCATCGCATTTGCTCCATGGCAGCCGAATCTGCTGGCGACTGGAGGCGGAAGCAATGATCGCCAGATTCATTTCTTTCACACAGGATCAGGTGCAACTCTGGCCCTGATCAATGTCTTCTCCCAAGTCACTAGCCTGGTGTAGAGCACAACGAGACGCGAGATAGTTGCGACCTTTGGATATTCGCAGCCGGAGCATGGAATTAGGATAGCTGTTTTCAGCTGGCCGACCTGTGAATGCGTGGTGAGTATTCCCTGGGAAAGAAGACAGAATGGCGAGATCAGCCGTGCACTATGGGCAATCCCTTATCCGGGCGGACCGAATGATGCTATACCTATCCGAAGACAAGATGGGTCTAATGCCGAATTTTCGACATGGGAAGGAGTTCGAGAAACCGAGGCCGAGCGAAGAAGAGCCGCTACAAGAGCAGTGGGGACGGTCGGTCCTCGAGTTCGTCGCAGTCCAACCCCAAGTCCCGAGCGAAGTATCTTCCCAGTGATACGAAGAGGACATCCGGGCATGGGTGCTGAGGAATTTCTGACAGATGGTTACAGTGGCGAGATTCGACGCGAAGGCGAGCGATGGGCAAGTCGGACAGAAGACGAAGGCAGCCTCATCATCGCATGCTGTGACCACACTGTCAAGTTCTTTGAGATTTGGGCGGGGAAAAGTAAAGGAAAGAAAGTGTATGGATTGGGTCAGCGGGCAGGTGTGCTGGGCGGTAGTCGTGTTCTGGAAGGTTGGTGTGACAATCTTGGTGTGGATGAGATTGGATATGGGGAGGACGTTATCCGGTAGATTGTGGATTAGGCAGAGGGACCATGATGAAGAGCGAGGAATGAGGAGGGGAAAGTGGAACGAGCCAAAATGAGAGGAACCCTCGTCCACGGCACAGTCTTGGTCTTTGGCAGACGACGGACATCCATTCCCTATCAACAAACCATCATCGAAGACAGCGAGGTAGAAGGCGGGTATTTTTATCCACAGCAGATTGATAGCCAGCCTCCGAGAGAACACGACAAACAATCATTCATTCATAGCTGAACTTTTTTTGTTGGACCTAGTTGCACGCAATCTACAAGATAAGAAAACATGCCCAATGCTTCAGATGCTCAATACTCCATGCACAAATACACGATAATGCTCCATCAATGTTCATGTCATGCTCGCTGGTATCCAGGTCCTCGCTATGCTGAATTTTCAAGCCGAAGCCGCCCGGGACCACATGCTTTTTGCCGTCGACTTGTAGGAAAGGAAGGGAAAGAGAGGGAGGGTGAGAAAGAGAGAGACATAAGCTAAAGGGGGTGAGTTTTGATGATCGAATCCTCGTTCCATCCCGTCGTGACTCCCGTGGTGCCATACCGCACTGATACTGATGCTGATGCCTTGATCCGTCCTCTATACACACCCTCGTGCTTGAATTGTGGCGTCGGATGAGGGCAGGGTCGTTTATACTGTGCGCGCAAATGTCTTCGACGTCGTCTGGGGGTGGGCTGTGGAACAGGTTGATTATGATCTGATGAGGAGGAGGATGATTTGTTGGATTTGATATGTGATGATGGCGGTAGAGGAAACCTATGGTGGTTGGAGGTAATGGCCGTGATGGTTGGCGGGAGTATTGAGTGGCATTACGACGTGTGTCGAGGCACTGGCTCTGTTTTCCAAATCTGTCATTACTGTCCCGCTCCACATAATATCCTGACAAGAGGCTGTGTAGACATCGACGTAGATGGCGATAGATGCAGAGTAACGAATGAGGGCATAGGAAGGCAGATGTGCAGATAGAGTGACAGGCATTGGTGTTCAAGCATGGCTTGTTGGCGGATACAAAATGTAGAGCAATCCCACAACGCGTAATGTCATCGACAAGTGAAGGTGGGTCGCTCAGATCCTGTTCGTCTTCTTGCCCGCTTTGTTCTTCGACTTTTGTTTCGACCTGGGCGTATCCAAGTCCATATCCACATCATCTTTACCGTTTGCTTTGCCTTTCTTATTGAGAGGAGTTGATTTCGGCACAGGCTCTGTCTCAGGCGCATCTTGATAGTCATTTGCACCTTCATCATCACTGGAGTCACCGGGCACACGCACTTCATCGCCTTCTTCTTCTTCGAAGTCGACAGAGCCGTCGTTGATGAAGCTGTCCATTTCCGAGTCTTCTTCCTCATCTTCCTCGTCTTCATCATCGTCGCTACTCCCCTCTTCGTTATCAGAAGATGCAACGGATGGAGTCTCCGAGCCTGCTGGGGACGGCCCATCATCGTCGGGGTCGGATTCTTCGGCATTGGAAACTTCAGCTTCGTCGTCAACAAAATTTCCCCCATGGCGGACGCCGTTCATCTTGGGTTGTTCGTCTTCATCCTCGTCTTCCTCACTGTCGTCGTCCTCTTCGTTGTCAGATGACGTATCCTCTACACCGTTCTCGAGAGGCATCAGATCTCCATCATCCTCCTCTTCATCATCATCGCCGACAAGCTCATCCAGATCTCTCTGTGGCTTCGTCCTTGACTTCTTGGTCGGTCTGGCAATGTCCTCGTCCAGGTCTTCGTCATCGCTGTCCCAGTTATCTTCCCCCTCTATATAAACAATTCCGGGTTCATTTCTCCCTTTTCTGCTGCCCGCATGTCTCTGGGCCAGCAGCTGTTTTCGATAATCTAGCTGCGCATCCAGCATATCCAACTTTCCTTTCAGCAACAACAAATCATCCAACGTCTTCATCCTGACGTTCAAAACCTCATAAAGCGTCCTCACTTTCGCTGCCACGCCGGGCTGGCTTGCTATTGCTCCGCCATGACAGATGCACGTCCACTGCACCCATGTGATGAGGTGTCCATACCGCCCGGGACGCGAAGCGAGTCGTTCTGCGAGTCTGGACAGGAGAACGCCAGCGAGGGTGGAGTCGAGCCTTTGAATGGTGGATTTGACAATAGCCATGTCCAGGGTATGCAGGCAAGCTTCCAGAAGAGATGTGTCATTGGTGCGGAGTGATTGAGTAAGGACTGTGGAGAGAGACATTCCCGAGGGGATGCTTGTTTGGCCGGGCTTGAGCATGAGGGCGGAAGTGTCGCGTTGAGGGATGGCTGATGCAATGGATATCTCGTGAGGGTGTTTCGATGCCAGCATATCGCCGAAGGAGGGTTCTCCCTCTTCTCCTTCTGCATCGGTAGCCGCCTTGCCTGACGCCGATTCTTCTGCTTCTTCAACATCTGCCATTTCCTCATCGGAATCAATCATCGAGCTTTCACCATCTTGTCCTGCGTCTTCGTCCTTCGCCCTAGTTACAGCCTCGTTTGCAGACTCACTCTCCTCGTCATCCTCGCTCTCTTCGGCACTCTCACTGTCAGAGATTGGAATAGCAGGGTCCAAAGGTGCAGCGACTGCCTCGCCGTTGATGACCACAGTCCTCGACTCATCTACGTGTGATTTGCCGAGGTCCTTAACACCGTTGAGAGTAGCCATGTTGAGGGTCGATGTGCTCGTCGCTCTCAGAACCTCCTTAACGCCGTCAAACAGTATTTCTCCATTTCCTTCGTCTTGCCATCTCACTTTCTGAAAGGCCAAATCTACACCTCCATCAGCGGAAACCAGGACGACGTCGGATCCTTGGACAATGCCTGCAACTATCGGTACCGTTTTAACCTTGGAGCCTGGAGCGACCAATCGTATTGAGGCCGATGCCTTTTTTGTGAGGTTTTTTCTGCTGGATTTCAAGTCTCCGTTGACTCGCTGGTTCTCTGCAAAAGGTCTTGGAAAGAGTTCAACGATGCCTTCTTTTGTCACAACGCAAAGAACCTGTTGGCGGAGGGTATCTGTCGTTTCCACAGCAGGAGTCGCGAGTTCGATAGAAATAACACCACTTCCAGCGACTAGGGTGCGCACCAGTCTCTTTTGAGAGATGTCGTAGACGTTGACATATCTACCTGAGTCTGCAGCAAGGAAATACCCAGAAGTCCCTGCAACATCTGAGCCCGACCGGCATAATGACTGCACCGGGGTTTTGAAGGAGTCAAAGCGGTCTATTCGAAAGTCGTCGGACGAGACGAGGTCGATTGCAAACGGGGTTGAAGAGGCACAGATGATGTGAGGCGCGTTTTGAGTCGGCGAAGCGAGGATACTGATGGTAGGGTCTGGTAGATTGATTGTCCTGCTTTTGTCAATAATCAAATGTCATGGTATAGCTGCGGAGGAGCTACTCACCTGATGGGTTGATCATCGGCCAGATCCCATTGTATGAGCTTTGCATCTTCGCCTATGCTCCAACCACACAGATAATCTGCGCAGGAGAATTTGAAATCTTTAACACCTCGTTCGTGTCCTCCACTCAGAGTGCCTACAATTCGACCTTCGGCGGGCGAGAACATGCAGATCTGCGAGGAATTGGTTCCGTAAGCGATGACTGCACCATCACTACTCTGAGAATTCCGCTTGCGTTTTTTCTTCGAAGCTGACTGCAGTCGTTCCCGGTATGCAGCACCATAGTAGCCCCAGTCGAGGCAAGTGATCTTTGACCCGGCTCTGGTCTCATGCTGGCTGCGCAAACGTCCCGTAGTCGCATCGTGAATGCGCAGTTGGTGCACGTCGAAACTCTGAATGACCGAGGCGAATAGGTGCAGTTGTAATTGTGAAGGAGCAAACGCTGACTTCAACACTGAGACTTTTCGAGTATTGACGCTGGCAGCCACTGCGGGCGACGAGGCGGAGGAAATTTTGGAGACCGATTTTTGAGGCTCTTTCCTACCCATTGTGAAGGGAATTATGGGAGGGAGGTGATAGGGAGGGGGACGGGGTATTCAAGTGGTATGTGTGTTCCCAGATAACATCGCAGTTGTTGTTGACTGGTGGTGCCTGATATCCCACGCCTCAATCTTCGGAATGCTTGCTGTACAGAATTTATCAGTCCGGCAAAAAAAGTTGACGAATGTTTGGAGAATCCAATTGTCGGGCGCCGCCTTACCATTGCTGGCCTAGCCGGAGCGCACTTGAACATGTCTTTGCGTGTCCGTATTTTATGCTCTTCTGGTCCAATGATTCGTCAGTGCATCCCTCTCCCTCTTTCTCGACTTATGTCTCATGTTGGTGCCCTCCAACAATTCTCAGAATACCCTCCCCAGAGATCTATTTCACCATTATATCAGTTCTGTTGTCACCCGCTGTCTTTATGAAGCCATTCTTAACATGGTCTGCATTTCAAAATCCTAGCATACGCTAGCTATGACAATAGAAATGTTCGCTGTGACCCCAGCTGGGAGACGCCTGATGTTCACTTGTATTATGTGGCTGTCATTCTAGGCCCATTTGACGTGTCTCCAGATTATTGCCCCCTCACCAAACGGGCATTACGAACACATTTGTTCTTTGCTCATGAACACTACAAGAAGCCAGGGCACGTCTATGACCGAACCAGATCTATTTATGAAGATGTTGAACTGCACTGCAGCTACTCTATGTCTGACTTTGGAGGTAGGAAAACCCTAATCATCAATAGCAGGACAGACTTGATATTTGCGTGTTTGCAAAAAAAATTTGCCTGGAGCGGACATCACCCTCATCCTCCGGGTCGACCGGTCAAGGCGGAAAGTTGCGGAAATTACAGTACAGGGGCAAAATGCTGCCACCATACTCGGTAGCCTTCTCGCGGACGAGCTGACCATCCCTCTCAACAATGCCTTCAGGAAAGTTTCAAGCACCATTACCTGCCAAAGAGGGGGAAAAGATACTGTTCGAGGACACGGCAGGACTCGTACACGTTGTCTGGTGCTGCCTCCCGCCCTCCGTCAGCGAACAGCCATGACTCATGCAGGTGCGACCACGTGACTTCACCCCTTCGGTCATCATGATGGAATCGATGGCAGGGATGAAGCGGGTGTGCGGAGCGAGCTAAAAAGTCAATACGGGTGATTATTGCTCAGGAAGTTGCCAAGCTTAACAACAATGAAAGTGAAAAGCGGTTCGCATCGAATGTATCAAAGCAGCTGAAGCTGACCCAGCAGAAGTGCCCAAAACAATTTTGAGACGCACAAAAAGGAAGATGGCACGAAAAAAAGGGGTCCGGCGATGAATGGGGAGATAACAAAGGCAGCATGGTGGACAGGTGGCCCGAGGTACGCGAGGCGTCAGACCAGGCCACGAGTGGGCAAAAGAGAAGGGGAGCAAAGAACGCAACAAGCAACCAGCGGCGACTCGAGATGGAGGGAGGCGGAGGGGAAAGGAAGGGCAGAAATGGGAAGAGGCAGGGCCGCACACAGGACTCGGAATCAGAAGTTTGGGGGGCAGCCATCGATTTGCTTGGGCAGAGCTAAAAACCTTGGAAGCCAGCAGGAGACGGACCAGGCCAATCAGACCAGGCCGACGACGACTCTGTGCATCCACTCTGGAGATTCTGCAGGGATACCCATGTCAGCATCACCTAGCGTCGCTGCAGGGCCGCAGAGCGCAGTTGGCCCAGTGGGCCTCCTGGTGGACTTGCAACCCCCCTCGGTGGCTGCGAATGCCCGATCCTATTTAACGGGCTTCCGCGCAAATTTTGTTGTGTCGCTTGCACCTCAACCTGAAATACCGCCGCTCGGCTGGCCTTCCTTCTGAAACCACCTCTTTTTTTTTCCTGATTTCCCTCCTACACGGCCCGCTGACGACGCGCCAAACAAACAAAAACATTCTCCAATCCCAATCCATCCCACGCGCATCCCATCACTGCTCTTCAAATAAGTCTATTACCATCCATCATCGGCCAGCGATCTTCGATCGCCCTCATCGCCCTCGTCATCGTCGCCATCACTGTCGCCACTTGTCTTCCAGTGTCCGACTGTTGCCTGTTTCCTTTTCCCGTAATTGAAACACGCAGCTCGCTGGTGAGGCGAGGCTTGCTCTGAGCCTTCACGTGCCCGACTCGCGCACGTCCCACGTGACCTTGATTTACCTGTCACATGACCGGTCGAGATTTTCGCGAGGCTGGTGTTGAAGTTGGTGTCGCCACGGAAGACACTGGTCTGCATCGACATCATCATCCCGTCTGCATCTCCCCGACTATTTATTAATCTCGACCCTCCTGCGCCTTGTTCGCGAATTCATTTTTGGCCCGCGTTCACCTTTGCGCGCGCGCCCTTTGTTTTGCCGTTCTTTTTCTTCACTCGCCACCAGTTCGCCGCGTTGCGCCTTGTAAAATATCTCACTTCTTAATTAATAACTTTTTCGCCAAACGTCTTGTTCCCTTTCGGCTGGTCCGATCTCTATCAACCTGAGATTTGCGCACTCGCTCTTGGCAACATGGACGTGGAAATGCAGATGGAGGCTCATGGGTATGTGGACTTGACCTTTCCGGCACGGCGCAATTCGTTTCATCTGACTCTCACTAGATTGCCAACGCAATTCACTTCAACCTCAGAGCAGCCAGAGGAGTCTCATATTGCCGACAACCTGGCCGCGTCAATATCAAATTCAGAGGCGACAGTGAATCCAAATCCACCTAAACAGCCTGCAGTTGACGCGGCGCAACCAGACCCAGTCAAGGCAGTGCCGGACGCAGTTACTGAGGCAGTTACAGAAGCAGTAACGAACACTGTCTCTGAAACGGCCCCTGAAGTGGCGCCTTCGGTTTCCTCTGAGGCACCGCTGCCACCACCACCTGCCACAAATGGAGTCACAGATCATCCCAGCGAACCTGTCCAGGAACCTCCTACCGTTGTTCCCGATTCGCAACCTCAATCTTCACCCGACAACCAATCTGCGAATCTCCCAGTGGCGACATCAATATCGGAAACCAACCTGACTGAATCTTTCATTCCCTCTTCCATGCCTGCAGAGACCCAGTCCTCGGTCACGCCGTTGGAGACAAGTCAGTCAACCATGGATATTTCAGAACCCCCAACGCTCCCACCCGAGGCGCCGGTATCCGATCTGCGTACTGCGCCGCATTCTGATGCACTGACCCCAGAAGCTGTGGCAAAGGTCGAGGCCCAGAAACATGAGCTCGACAACTCTGCTGACCTAACCACCTCCCTCAAACCAGAGGTTGCCAACACTTCATTCCAAACAGTGCCGATCGTCGATTCAGCCGCCACAAACATCGGTCTTCCTTCCCCACCCGCGCAATCACCCCCTGCGGCACCAGAGGCAGAAACTGCGACTTTGCCTGACCAGAAGCTATCAGATCGTTCTACCGCGCAACCAGAGCCGGAGGAAACGGTGCAGGTCGCAGAGTTGGCTCCTGCAGTGGAAGAACCCAGGGAACCCGCGCCAACACCGGCCGTCCCTGCTCCAGCTGAGCCCGAAGACCAAGTGATGACAGATGCATTGCCGCAACCGACCAAGCAGGTTCACGAACGCGATGAAGACGCCGAAGATGCAGAGCGTGCCTCGAAGCGCGTTAAGACAGACGAACCCCGCCCGCAGATTGAAGAGCCACAATTCAAGATTCCGGACGTACCTCCGCCTGTAGTGTCATCGCCAGTTACAGCTAACGGCGACACTGAAGCTTCCGCGGCAGTCACGGAGGATGGTGACGATTCGGTTACACCAGCGCGTCTGGCACACATGAAGAAAGTGATCTCCAATCTAAAGAAGAGCAATGCGTCTGGACCTTTCAGACTTCCGGTGGACTATGTCGCACTCAACATCCCGACATATCCTGAGATCATTAAGCAACCCATGGATCTAGGCACAATTGACCAGCGGTTGAAGCGCAACGAATATTCGTCGGTGGCTACATTTGTGGCTGACTTTGAACTGATTGTGCACAACTGTTTCACTTTCAACGGGCCCGATCACGGAGTCTCACAACAAGCCAGAAAAATGAAGGCATCGTTTGATGGCCAAATGAGGAACCTGCCCAAAGCCAGCATCGAAGAGCCTTCGAAAGAGGTTAAGAAAGCAGTCAAGAAGCAAGAACCGACGAGAACAGCGCCTCCGCGACGACCGTCCGTGAGTACATCTACGCCGAATGTCGGCGCAGCTAGTTCACCCAGCTCGGCCGCTCCCCCAACTCCTGCTTTCGCACCGAATCCTGATGGGATGCCTCTGATTCGACGCGATTCGAGTTTGACAGATGGCCGACCCAAGAGAGCCATTGTTCCCACTAAGCGTAACTCGGAGTTTGGAGGCGGCAGACCCAGGAAGAAGAAGTATGAGTTGCAACTCAAGTTCTGCGATGAGGTTCTGAAGGAGCTCATGAACGCCAAACACTGGCAAGCAAACCAATACTTCATGTATCCCGTGGATCCGGTGGCCTTGAACATCCCAACATACTTCCAGATCATCAAGAAGCCGATGGATTTGACAACAGTGAAGACAAAACTCCAGAACAACGCTTACGAAAAGGCCAAGGACTTTGAGGAGGACATCCGGCTAATATTCAAAAACTGCTACAAATTCAACCCTGAAGGCGACTTAGTCAACTCTTCTGGTCATCAGCTGGAGGATTTGTTCAACAAGAAATGGGCGACCAAAGATGACTGGCTTGCTGCGCGGGAACCACCATCAGTCACGCAATCGGATGTGGATGACGACGAAGAGGAAGAAGAGGAGAGCGAAGATGAAGCGGAGGGTGATAGCGAAGAGGAGCGGAACGAAAAGATCAAAAAGCTGCAGGCACAAATTGAGGAGATGTCGAAGCAGATGGGTGAATTGACGCAAAAGAAGGTCAAGAAATCCAAATCGCCGCCCATGAAGAAGAAGGACAAGTCGAAACCCAAAAAGGAGAAATCCGAGGGCGCAGTTTCCAAACCCAGCAAGGACAAGAAGGAAAAGAAGAAACCCCAATCCAAGAAGCAAGAGAAAGACCGATATGTCACGTTCGCCGAGAAGCAGTACATTTCTAACGGAATTGCCATGCTGCCGGAGAAACAAATGCAGGAAGCCTTGCGCATCATTCAGCAGAGCGTCCCATCCTTGGCCAACAGTGATCAGAACGAAATAGAGCTGGATATCGAGGAAGTCCCTAACAGCGCACTTCTGAAGCTACTCGGCTTTGTCAAAAAATATGCCGGTCCCCCTCCAGATGAGCCCAAAGTGGAACATGCTGCCGAGGCCTACCATGCGCCGGCTCATCAGAAAAGCAAGAAGAGCAAGCCCATGAGCAAACATGAGCAGGAGGCACAGATTGAGGAGTTGAAGGGCAAGCTGGGAGCTTACGCCGGACCGATTTCCCCCAATGCCGTACCTTCGATAGAGACGGGCGACAGCAGCGATGATGACAACTCAGAGGAGAGCGAGGAGGAATAGGCCTTTTTTCCTACATTGGTATCGTTGGGCAGCTCGATGAATGATGGGGGAATCCCACATGGATTTCAGCAATGACTGAAACGAAGACCAAAATTGCTTGCGCAACCGAACAGAGCGACCAATGGTGATCAAACCCGCACAGATCTATTATCAAAGTGCGGCTGTCGGGAATTGAGCCGAAACACACAACAAGTTTCGCCCGACGGTTGAGATTGGCGGTTCACGTTTGTAGACAATATCCCATTTCGCTGAGAGAGTAAGAAGGCAGACGCTGCGCTCGAACTGGAAAGAAACGCAAATGAAATGAATGAACAAAGAATGAAAAGAAACAGTAGCACCTAATAAAGTCCGTCTTCTGCTCACTTTCTACTTGCATATTCGAGCACTAGGTATCCAAGGAAATTTTGTATGCGATGCCAGTACTGTCTCCCTTTTTTTGGCCAATCGCTTCTGGCTCTTTCAAATTCCCGATCCACTTTTGAATTGACCGTTAATGTCTTTGCAGAGCCAAAATCAACGTCCGTCACATTTATATATGTGCTAGTGTTGTGCTGCTGTCGCTGCGTGTGCGAGCCCAACTGCGTCGGACTCTTGACCGTTTTGGGGGTCTTTGCCTCGTCTTTTGCGGTGGTGTCTTTTGGCTGGGGTGGCGTGTAAGATTTCAGTTTTGTGGTCTGGCTGGCTGGTTGGCTTGGTCGACAAACCCCAATCAGGACCGGGAGAGACGCGCGTGGTGCTAGAGGTGGTCAGGTGTTCCAGACGCAGAGAGCCCGGTCTGAAGAGGCCAAGAGAGATCGAGGATAGGCATACAGAAAGGCAGGCAGGCAGGTAAAGAAAGGCCTTTCCAAGGCAGACAACAGGGATGATCCCGTTGATCGCGGCGTCTGACTTGGAGGCGAACCCTGCCTTTGCGAGGTTGTGGGAGTATGTCACCAAGGAGTTGTTGGTGGGGGGAGACGCGTCGAGTAGGAAGGAAGATGAGGAGAGGGAGCGGGCGTGGGGAGTTGAGAGGAGGAGGAGGAGCAGGAGGATCAATAAGGAGAAGCGGATGAGGATGACGAGGAGGGGTGGACAGAGGAGTGTGGGCGATGGTGGCGTGGGTGAAGAAGGATCGGTTCGGTATTGTGGTTCTCGAGAGGGAGAGGGAGATGGGCAAGAAGAAGAGGAGCTGGGTCAGGAACAAGAACTTGACGGCCAGGCTGAGGATGACGATGGTGAAGAAGGTGAGGAAGAAGACGACGACATCGAAGATGACGAGGGTAGCGCAGGCAGGCATGAGAAACACCAACAAAAACCCTTGATCCTCGATCAACAACTCCACTCCCTCAGGGTCGCCAGGGTCAAGAGACGTATCCTCCGCGACGTGCTCGATGATGTCGCCTGTCTTGATCCCTCAGCTGGTCAAAGCCACAGCGAAGCTAGTGAATCTCATCTTCGATCCCCAGGGGCAGAGCCGCCGCGCAGTCATCAGAGGAGCGAGAGTCGCATACCGGTTTCCGCCGCCACAGGCGTCACAACTGCGCCCTACGCAGGAGCTGGAGGACCGAATGCTGAGATGGCCGATGTCACGAACCAGATCTCCAATCTCCAGGGCCAGACGGCGGAGGCGAATTCATCCTTGACAAGCGGTAAAACAGACAATGTGGTCACGGAGCGGTCCCCTGGGAAATCTATACCGCCAGACCTGGGAGAACTTGTTCGTGTTATTGCCGCGTATCTACACCTCATGCTTGACGGGTCGGGATCCCCCTTCTCCTCGTCGTCGTCAGATGAGGTTCACTCGCGCCAGAGGGGGCTGAGAGAGAAACAAGACATCAGGAAGGATGATAAATTAGAAAAAGGTCTTCTCTACGATGATATGCTGCGCTTCAAGATGAACATCGGCCCTATCGCTGACGCGGTCTCTTCGCGCCTCGTCGAGCTCGAGTCGTCGCTTTGCGTGTTGTCGGATATTGCACTGGAGAATGAATATGGAGAAGAAGACGAAGACAAGAGCAGAGCTAGGCGCACCCAGGGCCGCCTGCGTGTATCCCAAGACCTGCGGGAAAGTGTCCAGACCCAGCTATCCCACCTCTCCGACCTCCGCGAAAATGTCCTCCCATCATCACTGACAACGCTGACCGCCACTCTTCAGCAGCTGCTCACTCTTCAGCGCCAGCTTCTGCAATTGCAGGTCCAGTACCTCGAAGCCTCCAAGCACGGCGTCCTGTCTCGTTACACAATGTCGAAGATTGCTTTCCTGGACACCGTAGCACAGGCGATGGCGTTAAAGGCGCAGGTCCTTGTACTGGAGGCGAGGAAAGATTTTGAGTTCTCTCCGGAAGCGGAGAGGCGAAAGGAAGTGATCAGAAAGAAGATGGCCGAGGTGCAAAAGGAGGAGGATGAGCTGGATAACAGGATCGGTTCGTTGGAAAGCGTACTGGCCGAGTACGAGGCAATTGATCCCGGGGCGAGCATCATGGGAAGATTGGGAAAGAGGTACGAAGAGATTGAAGAGGATATGGAAGTGGTCAGGAAGGATATCGAGATGTTGCAGAGACGGGCAGTGAAGCGATGATGCTGCGTTGCGGCCGACGTACTCGGTAGACAGCAACGGTTGAGAATGCGGTGAGGCTGAAGCTCAGCCTTGTACGTCACATCCACACAAGTTGACTTTTTTCCTCAAACCAACTCAGCCCATCGACTTGATTGACATACCTGTAATTCCCCGCCCTCGATTCCGTCGACCTGCAGGTTCTCTTGCGTCTCTGATGTGAGAGGAAAGACAAGCAAGATTATCTTCGCAAACCAAACATTTCCGTGGACGCACCTTACAACCTCCGCGTTGCTCTGCACTTCACTTCCCCATCAACATGAAGGGACAAACAGCAATACAACCCAATAATGGGCGTGCGAGCGGCAAGAGGTGGGAGCTACTTGAAGCACAATTCTTCGGCAAGGCTAACGAATGTTTGGGTTGGCGAAACTCCGTCCCTGGCCAATCACTCCCCCGGTCGGTTGGTCAGTCAGCTGCTCCCAAGGGCTGGCGGCGGGTCGCATTTTCTGGGTAGAACGAAGCTTCCTCCCTCTGCGCTTCAGGTCAACTTCTGGCAATAGCGAATCAGAACCGTGGTTTGACCGCGCCCGGACGACACAGAATACGAGGTGCCTTGCCAACAAGGCACATACTACGAAACGGCAGCCTCATCGATTTAGCCGTCTCACTTCCTGGATGCTATAAAGCCACCATGGTGCACCATCATCTGCATGGTCGTCTTTCCTTCTCGGCCACAATCCTTTTGCCTCTCACGCTTCCCACTCATCTGTCGGCACCATGGCAGTGCCTCACAAAATCTCCGATGCCGATTGGCAGAAACACAAGCCGACCATCTGTCGCCTATATAAGGACGAAGATAAGCCCATGACTGAGCTAATGGAGGTGATGTCCACCGAGCATGGCTTCAAGGCAAGGTATTGACTTTCATGGCACGGCTCTGATTTGAGCTCACCTTCTTAATAGCAAACCTCAATACATGAGGCGCTTCAAAGATTGGCACGTTCAGAAGAAACGGACAAGTGACTTCTGGAAAGACCTCAGCCTGAACCTTAAGCGCAAGAATCTCCTGGTTGACGATGTTGATGTCTTCTTGGATGGGGAGCTAATTCCAAACAAAAGACTGAAGAGGCAGCTTTCGAGAAATGACCCTCCCACGTTGACGCAAACGATCGTGAGGCCTCGAACTCCAGAAGGGATATTCATCCGCCCAAGGACCCAGACACCCCGATGTCTCCTCATCTCGCTGCCATGGCACGAGATATGTACTCGGCTCGAATTGGCCATGACAAGTTTGGCAAGGAAAGAAAGTCGTTCTCCGTCACCTATGCCATCCGCTATCATTGATATCAGCGATGATTTACTGGAATTGGGATACAATGAAATCTGGCGAGAAGATATTCTCGGATTCACTAAGGAGACCGAAACGGATCAACCTTCGTTTCCTTATCCCGACTTTGCACATCATCGTCTTCAGATACAGAAGGCTTCCAGAGACAGTAACATCGTCAGTGCAGGGATTACCAACCTCTTGAATCTATCACCATGGTGGTCTAGCCGAGAGATTTTGGCACATATCATGGCTCAGCTCGCAACATACATGCCCGAAAGATGGCCTGGGGAGACCGAAAACGTCGTCAATCAACTAATAGACCCCCACTCGACAATGAGGATGCAGATCTTCACATCATTCGCCGTTCTTTTGCTCTCCAACAATATTCTGGGGCAGTACGAAGTTGAAGCCTTTGTCATAGCTCTCGACGAGATGGCTGGGCCTAGTGCTTTTGAAATGCTCCGGGTGGGAGAGGACTCCAGCACTCGTGCCATCATATCCGAACTCCTGTTTGCAGCCGTGAGGTTGGACAGGTCGGACCTAGTGAAAAGTGCGGTGAAGAATGGGGCAAATGTGAATCAGTGGTCCACTGGCTTCGACTCGAGAACGTTGATTGTGGAGGCAGTTTGGTCGAGCAGCGTTCGCGTTATTGAGGTACTTGTTGATGCTGGCGTAGTTGTAACCTCAGAAAGCATACACAGTCGACTGGGACATTGTCTCAGCTGTCCATTACACGCATTTTCGGGTGACGGTACCGTTGCAGACCATTTCCAATTTCTTGGGGGCTACTGTCCTTGCGAGAGTGATCGGGCACAACGAAGTTGTGCCATTACAGCTGCTGCCGCTTCACGGGAAACTGTCGAACTCCTCCCTCTCCTCCTCAAGGTACAGGTAACAGCACCAGCTGGTCCAGTGATAGTGAGTGCCATCCGTTACGGTGCTAGGGTGGAAACGGTCGAGATGCTTCTTCGGAATGGGACGACGGTCAATGAATGTGAACTCTCAAAAGATCATGATGGAGGGATTTACGGGGATTCGGCGACGCCTCTTTGCGCGGCGGTATGTTCTGATGATGCTGAGATGGTCAAACTCCTCCTCAACTATGGTGCGAATCCAAACGGCCCAATAATGCGCAAACATGAGCGTCTCATGGAAACCTTGGGAAAGAGGCTTTACATGTCTCCCCTCCTGGTTGCTGCTCAGTGTGGGAATCTGGACATGGTCAAACTACTACTTGCGCATGATGCAGATCCAAACTGGTCGACCTTGGACATTCTCGATGAACGGACAAGGAAAAGAGTCATTCGAAAAATAGAGGCTGGGCGAGGGGATAGAGTCGACGAGAATACTCGATTTCATTACCTCTTCCCAATACAGGCTGCAGCCAGCCTTGAGGACCCAGCCATCCTGGAATACCTCCTGGACAATGGGGCAAAAGCGAACCCAGAATATGGCATGCCTCCTTTGTCGATTTCTGCATACTATGGGAGAGAGGCGACCGTCGACATGTTGATCGGGCGGGGAGGCATGGTCAACCTAGCCGACACGCAAGATTGCAGCATGTCTCCTCTCGAGGGAGCGGTGTCTTCAGGGAATGAAATCATAGTTCGGCGATTGATCTTTGCAGGAGCTGATCTGGATCGATGCTCATCCGGAAGAGAGGGAGGCACAGCGCTTCAACGAGCGGCAGAAAGAGGCTTCGGGGCCATATTCGACCTGTTACGAGAGACTGGTGCGAAACTCGACTGCTGCTCGAACCCAGATCATTCAACAGCTATTCTTCAAGCATTCGTCAGACAACGCAACTATGACCGGGCACTGGAGTTGCTGGAAGCCGGCGTATCTCCAAACGGCAAGTCTAGGGATGGATCCTCGCCGTTGATAGCAGCCATTTTGAATCAAGACTTGATTCTCATGTCCCTTTTGCTTGAATGGGGCGCAGATGCCAATGACGACTCCTGCATACCAAGCTCATCCTGGATACCCTGGCAGAACAGAATGCCATTACTTGGTCCACAGGTTTACGGCTGTTTACCTCCCATCCACTGGGCAGCTGCTATGGGCAACTTGAGCGCTGTTACCATTCTGCGCAATGCTGGCGCCGACGTAAAAAAGTCTGGATCATATGAGCACAATCTTCGACACACTGACGGCTTAACCGCCTTACAAGTCGCGGTAGAAGCCAAACGCAGAGACATTGTCGAATTTCTTCTCGACCATGGAGCTCAGGTCAATGTTGGCGCCTGCCATCGTGACCCGTCATCGCCGATAGTTGCTTCAATCGTAAATTTGGACCTTGAAATGACAAAACTATTACTTCAGCATGGAGCAGATCCCTACTTGGAGGCCCAATGTGCGACCGAAAAGAACTGGTCGCGGAGGAAATATCCTCAACTCGCTCTTGAGGAAGCATGTTACCGGGGGAATCTCCGGATGGCACGGCTTTTGGTATCATCTGGGGTCGATGTCAATGTTGGATATCCTCTATTCTTCACTTTTTGTTGCTCGGGAAGCAATAGGATGGGGGCCGACCAGAGAGCCCAGATAATGGAGCTGCTGCTCGGCTGCCACATCAACGTCAACCGAAGACACCCCACGCAACACACTCCTTTGCAGGCAGCACTCGACTATGCCAGGGACAATCATGCCGGAAGCACCGTAGCAATTCGGTGTGCCCGCACACTCGTTGAACTAGGTGCTGATATCAACGCTGCGCCATCAAGTGATCGGTTCGGGAGGACGGCGCTTCAAACTGCTGCTGGGATGGGGGATGTTGAGTTCGTTCAGCATTTGCTATCAAAGGGGGCAGAAGTCAACGCTCCAGCTAGCCCCAGGGCTGGATTCACGGCTTTACAAGCAGCCGCGATTGGAGGATACTTGGGTATCGCACAAATTCTTCTAAAACATGGCGCTGAGATTGATGCGGATCCAAGCCCCATTGAAGGCAGACGGGCAATCGACGGAGCAGCAGAAATGGGACGCATCGACATGGTGAAATTGCTGCTGGATAACTACGACGGACCTAGACCCATCTCCAAGGTATGCGAGAGTGCAATGAAGCACGCAAAAAAAGAGAACCAGTGGTATGTTATGAAATTCTTGGAGTCTTATACGCCGCTGCAGCGATGAAATCAAGCCGAGCTCGATACTGTCGAACCCAAAGGGGAAGAGCGTCGCACGACGACGACGACGACGACGAGGTTGATCGATCATTGCTTGGTCGAGAGAAATGGGCCGAACCTGTTCCGATGGGACACCGGGGAAGACAGTATCGCAAAGGAACAAGATTCGATGGGTTGGGTGTTTGGTGATGCTGTCAATTCTGATCTGTGTGGCGCCGGGGAGAGTCTGGGGGAGTTTCTGGGGAAGTTTCATCTGGCAATGATATATGATCTACATCAGAGTGTAGAGGGTTCTGTGAGCCAACAATGCTTCTTTCTATCTTCTATTCGTACGTAAAAACTTGTCGTGATCATAATCATCTCGTTGTTTTTGTCATTCATGCTCGCTCATCGTCATCATTTTCCGCGTGCCTCTGCACATTCATCCCCGTTCCGTGTACCTTTGACCTTTCCAGGCCAGTCCACCTCAGCTCAACCGAGCTCAGCATCTGTAACCCCAACCCTGACGGAACCAGACACATCATTTCAATCCAGTACTCTTTACCTGGTACCCTTTACCCGTTACCCGCGCCCTCTCTCTCCCTCCAATCCTCTGCCTCCTCTCCTCTCCTTGCCTTGCCTTGCCTTGCCTTGTCCAATCTTCACTCCCAAACCCTCGCCCCGCGCGGCCACACGCGCTTGTACAGGGCGACGGCGACGGCGTCGAGCGGGCCGACACGCCCGTCAAAGGTGGCCTTGAAGTAGCCGTGCGTGCCGAGCGGCTCCTTGATGAAGCCCTGGCGTCCCCGGCGCGTGAAGAGCGGCAGCGCCGCGAACCACTGCACGTCGCCCCGGTCGAAGAACATGTACCGCACCGTCACGACCTTCTTGTGGATCTTGTACGGGTGGCCGGTCAGGATGAGTCGTTTGGCCACGACGCGCGAGGATGATGGCGGGAGCGTCGTCGCTGTGCCGATTAGGCGGAGCGAGGAAGGTGGTGATGTCGGCGCTAAGGTAGGGGCTAAGGTTGTCGTGTTGGAATCGATTAGCACGGGTGCTGCTGTCGTGTCGCCGCTGTCCGATGGCTGGCGAGGTGCTCGTCGTTGGAATACTAGCACGGGCACCGACCCCCATGTCAGCGGTCCCGTAAAGGTCGCTATCGCCGTGCGGCCCGGGTGCAGGAACCGGTCGAACTTGTGCACGTCGTTGGGCGTCTGGCCCGCGGCCGAGAAGACCGGGTTGATGAGCAGTCGGCGGTGGCCGATCTGGACGACCAGCTCGTCCTTGGACTTGATGGGCTCCTCGAGGTCCGACCGCAGCGTCACGTTCAGGTTGATCACGGCGTGTTTGTGCTCGTGCCGAAGGAGCGAGAACATGGACGACGGGTGGGGCGCGCTCGACTGCAGCGACACCGGCACGTCGCGCAGCTCGATCTCGACTCTGGTGCCGGCGAGCACGGCGCCCGCGAGAGACTCCTTCATCACGCTGCTGTACGCCTTCCTGTACTCGGGCACCTGGAGCAGCCGCTTGTACTCGGCGGGTTCGTAGGGTGCGTCCTCGGCGTGGTTCCACTCGCTGGTCCGCAGGCTCTTCAGTCCGCGGTATTTCGCCAGTCGCTCGCGCGCCAGCACGTCCGGGTGCAGCTCGATCTCGTCCGGGAACTCCAGGTCCTCTTCGGCTTCCTTCTTCCTGCGGCTGGCGCGGAACTCGGCGAGTTGGCGTGCTTCTTCCTCCGCTTCGAGCGGGGCGTCGTTGTCTTGCTCATCGTCATCGTTGTCGAGGTTCATTTCTGATTGCGGATATTCCGAGGGTGCTTTGCCTCCGGTCACACTGCCGCCGTCTTCGATGTTCAGAGAGTCTTGCTCAGCGTCCATCGCTACGTCGCCGTCGCGGTCTCCGTCCTCGCTCATCATGTCCGATTCCGAGTCTGACACGTCGTCCAGAAACCAGGCTGCCTGGTAGTTGGAGGTCCCTGGGGGGAGCTTCTTGGGTCGGGGAGGGATGTGAGAGTTGTCGTCGGAAAAGTAGTGATGGTCGTCAAGGAGGACTCCTTTATGCTCCGTGGTTGCCACGGTGCTCGCCGCATCCTGCATCTCGGCCTCTTCGGGTGCAAGCTCTGCCAGGTCGTCTTGGTCCGCGGTGGGTTTCCACTCCTTGATGGGCTCATCTGCGTCCATCTCCTCGGCCTTCCTCTTTTGTCCCGAGCGAGGCACCTGTCGGATCGAGGAAATCTGGAAATCTCCCCAGCCGGGGACATGGACCAGGCGATCCGGGTTCAGGGCTTTCCCGCGGATCGTCCCCAACAGCGTCACGTTGGTGGTCGCGGCTGTTTCGTCTACTTGGGGACCCCAATTGGCCTGCTCAACCAACATCCAACTCCTGTCGTCCCGCCAGCGAATTCCTCGTGTCGAAGCTGTGCAGATCCGCCGCACCAGGTTCGAGCAGTCTGATTTGCTGTCCAGGCTGGACAATTTGTCCAGGGCGGGAAAGTACCGGCCCAGAGCGATGTTCATCTCTGTCAGATGTCGCATCCTCTTGGGAGCTGGAACTTTCGGATCCAGATTGTGCACGACGGCTGTCACATTCGTGATGCCCTGGCCTTCGAGCGATCTCAGAAACAGATCCTCCTCTTCGCCGTATTTCTGCTCCGCGTCGAGGACGAAAATCACCCAGTCTGCAAGCTTGCAAATGTCCAGAGCGTTGAAAAGGTCGAATTTAGCAGGTAGATAGAGAAGATTTCGCCGGAACCGGTCCACTCGGACAGGCACGGTTCCAGAGGAAACATTTGAGTCCGAAACATCAACGCTTTCATTCAGTGTTTTGATTGCCGAGTATGGGTCGACGTCGCTCGACAGCGGCACCACTGCAATATGTTTTGCCGCCCCATCGACACCTTGGAATATGAGTTCTTCCCCCTCCTTCTTGTCCTTGTGGTGCATGCGCAGTTGCTTGGCTTGGTTGCGTCTGGCCAATTTCGACATGACTTGCTGGTGCGGAGTCTTTCTCTGGCCTCTCTCGGACCGTTGACTTTCGACCTTGCCTGCAATAGAAATCAGCAAGAATATCGTGTCAGAAAAATTTGGCTTTCCTCACCTTTTGCCTGGTCCTTCAAGGCGCTCTTGGAGGCGAACCGCGACTTGAAGGGTTTATGGTCGACCTTTGTCGTGCTCCGGTGGTGATGGACAGAAGTGGTGGTGGTGTGTGCCATTGTGGCACTGTTTCCTGTGCCTCCTGCCTTGAATCTATAAGGCAATGACATGCCACGTTCCTATTCCAGAACCGGGGTTGTTTCACACCTTGGTCGGGCAGCACAAATGTCGATTTCCAGAAATTTATTTCATTTTCGCAGTTGTGTGGGGAAATGTGATGGGATGTTTCTCCACTTTTTCCTGGTTACGTAATGATCGACCCCTCTGTCGCACTAGGCCTGATTGGGCAGACGAGGCTGGAGCGCTCTGTTCCAGATTTGCTCCAGACAGCATGTGTTCATAACCATCCCCATGCAGTGGATATATTGTTTTGAGAATCCATTGCTTACTCGAACACGCTCCAGGGGATATAGGATTTTATTTAACCCTGGCAGGGGCAACCCTATCCGAGGAGTCAGAGCCTCTTAAGTATCGATAGGCTCTGACGTTAGCGATGACCTGCTTTTTGGTATTCATCCAGTATAGTACTCAGCTTTGAAGAGACATAAATGATTGAAAATGATGCTCACTTGTCACAAAAGTGTTCGCAAGCAGCTCCCAGAGATGCCGGAGCTAGTTATAGTTACACAAGAGCACAGGCGACGAAAGTGGTCCAACGCACAGCCAGCCCCCTCTCTATCAAACTGCACGTCCATCTCAAGATGTGAGAGGTATGAGGTTGCGAGGGTAATTTCTCCCAAACAAAGAACTTCGGAGGCTGTTGTAGGAGCATACTTGGTCAGTTGAAACAGGTTAGATTCGCATGGTATTGGTTGGTCTGCCGTAGCGGATGTACAGTGGAGTATAAATGCCAGAATGTGAGGGAAAGAAGTAGGAGGAAGCCTTGTTAACTAATGCACATATGGGTAAGCAGTTACCATATCAAGCACAGGCCAGAAGCAAGAGCGTAACAGTTGGTGAAGCGCCTACTTCACCGTCTAGTGGCCCCAACTGGTGACATCAGTCCTTCAGTCCTTCCTGACCCAACAGCCACCTCATCGCTTCCATCATCTTCGGCCCTAGTCGTGGTCGAGAGTACTCTGTCGCATGGATAGTCCAAGCAGCATGACCCAAATCAGGAAATACGTCGCAACGTGTCGGCACCCCAGCTGCCCTCAACGCCCTTTCGTATATCAAGCCGTCGTCCCTCAGGACATCCAGTCCGCCTACATGTACGTATGTCGGAGGCAGTCCCACGTGAGGAGTCTTGCTGTTGAAAGGTGAAAAAAGAGGGGATCGGATGTCTGGGCCCAGTGTGCGGATGATATGCTGGATCGTGTCTCGGTTCAGGGATGGATTGTTCTTGTTGTCTTCCATCGAGGTCCATTCCCTTTTGTATTTGTCCGGAACGATCTCCTTGACGAGCAAAAGAGGAATGGACACGAATGCCCCGGTGAGCGGTGGCGCGAGTCCTCGATCCCGTGCCAACTGGTTGCAAACAGCGGCCATGGTCCCTCCCGCTGAAACTCCGCCGACTACAAAACCCCGAGTAGGGTTGGCACCAAACTCCCCCGCGTGCTGGGACAACCACACCAGCGTATCCCAAGCATCTTGCATCGGAGTCGGGAACGGGTGCTCGGGCGCGAGCCGGTACGTCGCAGAAACAACCACGGCGTTGAATTCGAGCGCAAAATCTCGCGCCGGACGAGTCATGTAATCGACGCTGCCGTTGGAGAATCCTCCGCCATGAAAGAGGACAATCAACGGATGACCAGCGTTGCCGCTGTCCGCTGGAGAAGATGGCACAGTCTCAATGTCCACTCCCGGGGTGGATGCTTGTGACTGCGTTGCTAACGATTTAGGTCGCACAACTTTCAACTCTCCCCTATGACCATCAGGAAGAGGCACAGAAGCATAGAACTCCTCGAGGTCGCTGTGAACAGGACCAAGGGTTGCCACGAGTTGCCGTTCCGCCACGCGCCGTGCGAGACGGATGTGCTGGAGACTTTGGGGCGCAGGCAGTCGTCTGTGGAACATTGTGAGCCCCAGCGTCCTGTCCTGTTCTATTGAAACATTCACGGGCTGCTAAATGCTCAAAGGTTATGTACCATCTGCGGGGTTGGAGTTTGACGGCTGTTTAAATAAATAATGGCACATTTTGAAGCGGTATGGAGTGTGAAAGCCCCTTTATCACCTTCCAATCACACGTCCCTCCATTTTCCACGGCAATCTCGATTCTCGAGAGATACTGCCAGTTTGGGACAATAGCCCCCTGTCTCCCTCCCCCCAAACATGAAAAGCACCATAGTGGCCATGACGATCACTTACAGTATGTGCGAACCGTAGAAGAGATCTTTGGCGGTGTTGATGGTACCAGTACCTCTAATACTATTAGTCTATATTTATTATGTACACATCTATTACTGTCTGTCTGTACAAAGTGGGTCTTATCCCACTGGACCAAAATCATTGCACAAGTGCTTGTGAGGGGGACTCATGAAGAGGCGCCGTCATTGCTTGCTAAGCGCTCGACCTCTTCTTTGACGCTCTTCAACACCTTCTCGACAAGGTCGTCGTCCACGACCTCCTTTTGCCATGTAACTCCTAGCACCAAACATCCATCAGCCCCCGTAACGACGGACACTTGGATCGCACTCGCCGTCACGCCGGCGCTCTGCGTGAATACCATCCTCCCCATTTCCACTCCTTCGACGTCCCCTGAAGGCGGCTGCTTCTTGAACAGGCCTAGGTTAGACACCTCGAAGCTCGAGTCCCGGTCCTTGCCGACCTTGGAGAGAAATAGTTCCTGTTGGTAGTCCTGCACGAACCGGAGCATGCCAACGTCTGTATTGTGGCCCTTCAAGCTCAAGACGCGTTCAATGTTCTGGCGGGATCGCCGGGCTTCGGGCCATGGTAACAGATCATGTGCTCCCTTATCCGAGTCTCCGTGTTGAGTGGAGAAGTGGTCTCGAGCGTATGTGTCGGACATGCCTTGGACCCAAACCCCCATGCTGTCCTCCGTGACCCCAGCGTCCGCAGGGAGAAATCCACGGACAGAAAGCGCGCCACTACATGCCACCTTGGTGAACTTTTCGGGCAGATTGGCAAAGAGTGCCCCAGCGATCAAAGTCTGGAGTGCTCCGGAGATGGTGGTGCCGTTCTTACGGCAAATTTTCTTGAGCGCCGTTGTGCTCGAGGCTGAGAGGGCGAGATGACGAGCACCTGTACGTCCCAATGGTGTGATACACTTCGAACCTGTCCAGAGACCAGGGTCGCGGCTGGGCGACCAGATTTTGTGCTTGAAGAGTACGGTCAGGATGTGCCAGGTTGAGATAGGTAGTGGGTGGGCGGATTCAAGACTAGGCAGTAACGGCGTTGAGGGCGATGTGATGACTGACGTTGAAGGAGAGTCAGTTTCGAGGTTCGAGAGGACCTGGCACAAAGCACTATGAAAGGTCCTGTGAAATGCCATTCCTGAAATGCCATCGCCGAGGGCATGATGGTAGAAGAAAGATGCAGTGAACTCAGAGGGTCGAGCAGAGCTTGTCAGGACGAATAGTCTCCAAAAAGGGTTTGGCGGCTCGTAGGGGACGCTATGCTGGGTACCCAGAAGCTCGTCTAGTTCACCATCTCGCTCATCACCAGCATCCGGGTCGTAATCTAGGTGTCGTGTTTGGAAGAACACACATTTGTCGAGATTGATTTCTGGTAGCCGAATGAAGTATGGATCCTGGGTATTCTCGTCCACCGGGATGGCTGAGAGAATCGGATGTCGAGTGATAACATCTCCTAAAGCCTTGTAGACACAAGCCCTCAACTGATCAGAGCGGCTGTTCGGGAGCTTGTATGAGGCTGTGACTGCTGGCCCCAGATAGAACTTCAGGTCATGGCGAGCTGTCGAGTAACGTTCCAGCCTGCCTGCAAAAATCGTGTCAGTCTCGACAGCTATGAGATTTGATAGTGAATATGATCAGCATACCGACACCGCGCAACTTCTCAAAACCCTCCATTTCGAAGGACCCCTTATATCCAAGTTAGATGATAGCCGTACGATCTTGTTAACATTTAATTCCTGACTTTTCGACCAAACCAATTGACTGCTGCCTGATACATGGAGTGCGGCTTGGCCGGCTATCACCGCACCGCCACATTAATTTCGACACTCATATTGGCGCATAACAAGTGTGGATTGCTGAAAAACCCAATCAGTTTGAAAGCGAGAAAAAGGGGATTAGGCAAGGCTGAGCCCACTTTATAGAGTTGACGAGGCAGGGCGGAATAAATGTTGATCCGAATCCCGATGAATCCTCAGCTGCGCATTCAAGGGGGTACGGATTATGTTTGAAAGGCTGTACCACATGCCACCTCTTTCCATGCGGCACCTATTCGCCCAGCGATGGCGCTCTAGCACAATCCAAACCGAATTCGCTCTGTCAAAACCGTGAACTCGAGAACATATCGAAATGGCACGGGAACGCGACGGACTCCTGTCCGAGAAACACTACGATGAAGACGCCGCGATTGTCCCCTCCGATTCAGGATCCGATGCTGAGCTAGACTTCGAAAGCGCAGGCCGTGTCAGGGATGACGACAGAGATATCCTCAAAGAGACTGAAGAGCATGAGAAACTATTGCACAAACCGTCGAAGTTCGAGTCAGCACGCGCAACGTTTGGGTTCCGGGATGGAACGTACGATGAGGGAAGCAATGCAGACAAAGTTCGGAGGCACAGACGCAGGAAGTCGAGGAAAAGCGGAGCGAGACCTGCAGACAAAATGTTTGAGATGGAAAGCGGCTTCAAAGACACCAGTTCCCAGTCCTCTACCGACACCGAGTTTGAGGGCACAAAATGGGACAGACATGCTCCTCAAAAATCCCATCGGGGACGCCTGACGATGATATACCTGGCCATTGTCGCACTATTCGTTGCCTTGCTCTTTGGCGCCTATAAGGCTTCTACGAAGAAACACGCTCTGACGCCCACAGTTCACCGATTGACCAGGTACCATAACGGGACGCACGTTTTCCGACCGACCACAATACTCATCTCTCTCGATGGCTTCCGCGCTGACTTTCTCAACCGCAACATTACCCCAGCACTCAATGCCTTTATCGCGAGCGGGGTGTCGCCTAAATACATGCTCCCATCGTTTCCCTCCGTTACCTTTCCCAACCATTTCACCCTGGTGACTGGCTTGTACCCAGAAAGTCACGGCATAGTCAGCAACCAGTTTTGGGATCCCGCGTTTGAAGAAGAGTTTTGGTACACCAACATCAAAGTCTCGATGCAGCCCAAGTGGTGGACCGCCGAGCCACTGTGGGTTACAGCCGAGCATCAGGGTGTCCGCTCCGCGATTCACATGTGGCCTGGTTCTGAAGCGCATATACCTGACGTGGAGCCGACATACTTGGACAAGTACAACGGGAGTGAATCCTTGTCTCGTAAAGTCGATAGGGTTTTGCAGTGGCTCGATCTGCCTGGTGACGATGACGAAGCCCCCACTGACCAAACGCACTTACGACCACAATTCATCGCTGCCTATGTTCCCGATGTTGATGCCGATGGACATCTCTACGGGCCAAACAGCACAGAGATCAGAGCCACCATTGCGGATGTCGACAGCATGCTGACTTTGCTCGTCGAAGGTCTCCTGACACGCAACCTGACCGAGATTGTCAACATTGTCATCGTCTCCGACCATGGAATGGCCACCACATCCACAAATCGCCTAATACAACTGGATGATCTCATGGATATGTCCTTAGTCGACCACATTGACGGGTGGCCTCTTCGTGGCTTGCGCCTGAAGAATCCAGACCGCGACGTCCCCGTGCTCTACGAACAGCTCTCTCAAGAAGCCGCCAAATCAGGCAATTTCGAAGTCTACACTCTTGAAACCATGCCAGAGCGTTATCACTTTAACCAGAACGATCGCATCGCACCATTGTGGATCGTTCCCAAGACCGGCTGGGCTGTCGTGGAGAAATCCGATTTCGACATTGCCGATGCGCTGAGCACGGGCAGAGAATATACGCCGAAAGGACTGCATGGCTACGATCACGAGCATCCGCTCATGCGAGCTATCTTTGTGGCTAGGGGGCCTGCATTTCCGCATGCACCCAACAGTCGAGTACCTGTTTTCCAGAACATCGAGGTCTACAATATCATGTGTGATTCGTTGGACATCGTCCCACAACCAAACAATGGGACATTAAGACTTCCCTTGAAGACCGAAGGCTTGCATTCTGAGGATGACAGGCCGGGCTCGGAAGTGGTGTCAGATCCCGTCGATGGGAACAAGGATCAAGAGGGAGACACCCCAGACACAATTGTGGATCCCGTCGACAAGGAAGAGCATCAGGAGGAAGCAACTCCCGACAACGATCCAGATTCTCCAGCTGAAGCGCCTACCGACCCTGAAAAGCCAGACGCAGACACACCCGACGAAGATCAGGAAGAAAAGAAAGGGAGTTGGTGGAAGTTCCTCCACGAAGAGCTCGAAAAGGCGAAACAGTGGGCCAAAGAGTTTGTGGAATCGATCAAAGGCAACAAGAAAGGGGAAGGCGATCCACCAGTGTGAACGCAGTTGGGGTACAAGTGAGCGTTAGAGTCCCATATGAGAGCCTCATCGCCCCATCCTCTTGATATAAGGTTACCCCCATCTTATCGACCTATTCCGCGCGGAAGTGGAGGATCTCTGCTTTAAGGACGGCATGGGACGCAAACATGAGCATTGCCTATACCGCACGTAGGGCAGTCCTTTGCACACACCAGTCAGCCACCCTGTACGAACAGCCTCCATTGATGGACCGTCCAAGGATCAACGGTCAGACCAAAGCACGCGTCTTACAGTTTGGGTACGGACGCTCACTCTGTGATGGCGGAGCAGAATGGCAGCCTGACTTTCTGGCACATAATCGCAACCGAGGAGAGGGACGGAAATTTCATCATCTTTCCGAACAGCAACTGCCTGACTGTTACAGACCACGAATCATCACGAGTGATGCGTTGCATTGCATTACAGAACGAGGCGACACGAGCACCTGCCCACGAGGGTATGAAAATCCAGCATCCGATGTTTCGCGCCCGAGACCCAACTCGACGCGCCAGAGATGCCACTACCACTGTCGCTACCATACCATACCCGTCTCATGACATGCGTCACTGTCCACCCATAGCCGCGCTCCATCGGCAGGCTCATTACTGGTTTGATATGGAATAGGTAATTCCCCCTTACCAGGACGGACACCAGGGCAACACAAGAGACGAGAAGGAGGTCGTCGTTGATCACTTGATTTAGTTTGGTCTAGCAAGCATGGCGTGTTATATACCCAATGGAGTTTTCATGGAATTATATTGTGAGGTTTTATTTCTTTCCGTTTGTTGGATTGATACCCATAGACTATAGTTATGGAATGATCAATCAACGTGCATGAAAATGGAATCTTTATCAGCAGGATTTTAAAAAGGCAAGGCCATCTCTACTTATACTTGTAGTGTATTCTATCCTACAAGTACCTTTCATTTTCTGTTCCCATTGTTGAATAGTGGCTGGCATACGGACATTCTCCTGACTCCGACCCAAGTCCTGCTTTAAGCGTAATTCATAGTATTGAGTGGATGTGGCGATGGAGTCGTTCCAAAGTCTGATCCAAAAACATTGTTGTTAGACGAAGACACAGCAGAAACCGAGTACTGACAACAACAGCCAGGCATCAACCACCGTCACTGGATTCTGGGCCATCCAGCTCTGTCGAACTTTGCCTTGCTTCATACAAAAGTGTTGCCCACCCTCCGTATCCGGCCCTTCCATTCCTTGCTGGTCTTCTTGTCCTCTTTCTCCAGCCTCACCTTCTTTTTCCTCTCATACACTGCCCTCACCGTTTCCCTCACCTTTTCCTCGCCTTCGGCAAAGTTCCTCTTGGCGAGCTCCACCACGCTGTCGACCTGTTCGGGCGTGTAGATGAAATTCCAGGTGCTCATAAAATCGGACTTGTCCGGGTCGATGTTCGGGACATCCGGGTGTGGAAGCAGAGGAAAGTAAATCACGGCAATACCGGCATTCGGGTCCATCAAGTGGAACGAGGCCGAGTCTTCGTTGTCGCTGGCGTCCCAGTTGAGACTCTTGGAGGGCGGTGGTTCTTCATCGCTGCTTCGCTCGGCCTTGCTGCCCACCCAGACGGTGCAGGGCCCAAGTACGCTCGCCGTGTCCGGAGCTGAGCCGGTTGTCGGACTCTCTGTAGTGTTGTCCTTATCTGCAGCTTTATTCTCACGATCTTCCTCCCTCGCCGCAGCGAGCTTTGTGGCCGCTTCTTGTGGAGTGGTCGCCTGTGCTTCTTCCAGTGCTTTGACATTCTCTTGAGGTTTAGATGATGCCCTCGGCCATCCTGCACCCACAGGCCAGCCTTTGATCCCGCGCTGTTTGGCGTACCCATCAACCACCGACAGCCAATTCTCCTTTTGGATATCTGCTGACGCATCAAATGCAATCAAGACGTCAACGTCCCGGCCAGGTCGGAGGAGCGGGTAGATTGGCAGGTTATTGCTCATTCCAGCGTCCATCAGCTGGAGATGGTCGTTCTTGAAGACCGAGTCTGGACACGTCGACGGGAGCTGGCCTTCCATGCCATACACAAAATTGGGTATCGTAGCTGGGTCAATTGGGTGGATCTTGATGAGATCTTCATTCTTCTCTTCAACCAGTTGATTGACACCGTCAAATCCAACCATACCGATCAAAGCAGGCTTGATCTCTTTGTAGTAATGCGCCAATGTGGCGCAAAAGGCCGACCCCCAGATCCCAAGGAGCAGACTTTGTCGGATCTCTGGCAAGGCAACACCGCTGTCAAGCAGTAAATTCCGGCCATTTTTGAAAGGCCGACCTAAGCTCCAAGTAGGTATACCAGCACCGAACTCTTCGCACCACACCTCCCACGGGTGCATTTCTATCCATTGAAACCATGCCTCCTTCCTGGCCTTCTCCTTTATCTTCTGTTTGAGAGCGAGGTT